CGCTATAGGATTTATGAAAAATATCATCTTGACATTTCTTCCATCATTATTGCAATATTTCAAGATCCAAAGACGTATAGTTTCAGCATCTTTTTCGCTCTCTGTTACTAAGCTAATATCTATCTGTACATTAGATGATTTGATTAATAATAAATACTCTCTTATTAAGTGATGATATGCTCTTTGATATATACAGTGAAAGCAATAATTTCTTTCTGCTCTGTTTTTAAGCTCAGCAAAGACAAAAGAAAAAAAGGTAATCTGTAATCCTTATGTAGAATATTAATTATCATTTAATCTTTTTTTTCAATGCATTTCATAAGCAAAGAACGTTGCCGAGGGAAAACAGGAAAATTAATAAGAGAAAAATATCATGCAGAAAAAACAATTGAGATACCTTGTCATCTAGAGTCGTCTAAGATAAATCACTATAAACCTTATATAAATATCAAATTATGCTCATTTTGTATTATGTTGATGAAGTGTCTGCTTAACTATACTTTCTATTAATAATTCTAAGAAATAGATTATATTCAATGTGAAATTTCAAACTTAGTTCTTTTCTAACTAAATAAATAGAATTATTCTAGCTTATTTTTTCATTCGTTGTATTTTATGCAATCAGTAACCGTACATACTTGGTAATTTTTTTGCTAATTTCAATGCTTCTTCCGCATGCTGTTTTGCTTTATCAAAGGAATTTTCTGTTGATAATGAGAATGTTGTGGAAAGTGGCGTTGAATCGGATACGGCTGTAGACTCATCATCATAATACGCACCATTTGAATCAGCATCGGATTTATTATCATCTGCCTCTTGACGTCTATAACGATATCGAACACCCATTTTCTTCTATTCGATTTTATTTTATCAGGAAACGGTCTAAGAAATAATGAAACAATATATAGTAGCACTAGTTAAAGATAAATAAAAAGTCTACGAAATCAGTCTCTATGATCTTTTAGCCTTGTCGTTTTTCTCTGCTCATTTGGCTATTACTTCTAATTTATTAAACGATATCATGCAAGACTCAAAAAATCTCTCACTTCACTCAAGCGCATGAAATCAGCACTCTAAACTTCGATTAAAAGGGAGAAAGACAAGTAGATCCATTTCTCTCACTAGAATATTTTCAAATTCCACTTTATCAAATATCCTTCGTATATCATTATGAGTATGGACTACTAGACACCCATCTGACATTAGTTCCACAAGACGATTTTCGAATTTTTGAT